TAAACCTAATCCTAACGTTCGCACAACCCACTACTCATCACTCACTACGCGCTACCCATTACTCACTACACACTACTCACTACACACTACTCACTAGGCACTATACTCACTGCTACTCACTACTCCCGACCTACTCCTCCTGTCAACTCACGACTCAATACTCGCAACTCCCTACTCACTACTCTCTACTCTCTACTCACAATTCGCAACTCACTGCTCACTGTTCACTATTCAAAACTCACTACTCGCAACTCACTATTCAAATCTCACTTACCCACTACTCACTATTCACTACTCGCTACTACCTACTCCATACTACTCACGACTCAGTATTCACTCCGCACTACTCACAACCCGCTACCCACTGCTCACTAGTCTGTGGTCACTACTCACTATACATTACTGACTGCTCTCTACGCACTACCCAATACAATACTCAGTGCCCAGTACCCACTACTCATTACTCACAACTCACTACTCACTAATCTCTTCTCACTACTCACTACTCACGACTCACTATTCACTACCCACTACTCACCACTCACTACGCGCTACCCACTACTCACTACCCACTAATCGCTACACGCTACTCACTAAGCACTACTCACTACACACTACTCAATAGTCGCTACCCTTCTACTCCCTACTCCCATACCTAACCCCAACACCCGATCCCGAATACACAAACCCTTACACCCTGTCCCGAACCCTCGCAACCTAACACTGACCCTTACCCAATCACCTCGACCCGAGCACCACCACCCTAACCCGTCTTCACTAACCTTAACACCCTAGCAATAACACCTTAACCTAACACGCTAACCCCAGTACGCTAACCCTTACACTCTAACCGTACCAACCTACACTTCACCCTAATACCCTAAGTCCAACACCCTAAGACCTTAACGCTGACACACTAACCCCACCACCCTGCCACCCCTTAACCTCAACGCCCTGACCCTAACGCCGTGACCAATAGTTCAACGCACCCACCCCAGCACACCCTCACCCGAAGCATCGACCCCCTTGCGGGAGAGGCCCTCTCCCTGGTCCCCTGTCCGGCGCAAAGGGTGAGTGTGGGGGTCCGAATTCCCTCCCCCCCCCTTCCTGCGCAAAGGAGGGGGGGGGGTCCGAAAATCTCACCCCCCCTTTGAAGGGAGAAGGGGGGGGGGCTGCGAGCCTCCCCCCTTTTCAATGACCGGGGCACCCAGTGGCGTGCTTTCGTCGATTGCCCCCTTGGCGAAAGTTTGCGTGGCTGGACGCCTGGCTGCATCTCTGGGCGTCGTGACTACGAAGATCTCCTTGGTTACGTCAAGAGTCGTTTCCGTTTCTGCGATGTGAAATTGTAAGATTTCTTCGGTATCTCCGCCATCGCCTGGCAGATTCCTCAAGCAGAGAGCTTCTGGGCCCTCTTCTGGCTCGATCTCGGGCTTGTCCGCGCACCGGCGATCAACGGTGCAGAAATTGGGACGAATGGGGCTCAGGTTTAGGTCGGGCGTGTCCCACATGCGGATTTTGGGCGAAATTAAAAATACTTAAAACATGCACCAAAATACACCAAAATAGTAAAAAAAAATCCGCCGGCCCCTAGTGGGGCCACCAGGCTGTAGGCCGGGAAATCGCAGTTTCCTGTGCCAGTTGCAGCTTCCAATTTCCACTGTTACAGTTCTGCTTTTTGCTGCTTACTGTTCCTTGTTGACTTCTTGCTCCTTAGTGTTCCTTGTTGATGGACCGCGCGTAATTTTTACCACGGAGAAATCGTGTGCTCTGAATTGCTGGGGTGAATAAAAATTTACACCGCTCACGCAGATCGGCGGGGTCAGGGTCCAAAAACACAAGGGATTTGCCACATTTCTGAAATTCGGTGGAACCCCTCACGCAGATCGGCAGGGTCAGGGTGCAAAAACACACGGGATTTGCAACATTTCGAAAACTCGGTGGCACCCCTCACGCAGATCGGCCGGGTCAGGGTGCAAAAACACATAGGATTTGCCACATTTCTGAAATTCGGTGGCACCCCTCACGCAGATCGGCGGGGTCAGGGTGCAAAAACTCAGGGGATTTGCGACATTTCCAAAATTCGGCGGCACCCTTCACAGCGGAGTCAGGGTTCAAAAACATACGGGATTTTCCAAATTTCTGAAATTCGGTGGCACCCCTCACGCAGATCGGCGGGGTCAGGGTGCAAAAACACAAGGGATTTGCCACATTTCTGAAATTCGGTGGAACCCCTCACGCAGATCGGCAGGGTCAGGGTGCAAAAACACAAGGGATTTGCCACATTTCTGAAATTCGGTGGAACCCCTCACGCAGATCGGCAGGGTCAGGGTGCAAAAACACACGGGATTTGCAACATTTCGAAAACTCGGTGGCACCCCTCACGCAGATCGGCCGGGTCAGGGTGCAAAAACACATAGGATTTGCCACATTTCTGAAATTCGGTGGCACCCCTCACGCAGATCGGCGGGGTCAGGGTGCAAAAACTCAGGGGATTTGCGACATTTCCAAAATTCGGCGGCACCCTTCACAGCGGAGTCAGGGTTCAAAAACATACGGGATTTTCCAAATTTCTGAAATTCGGTGGCACCCCTCACGCAGATCGGCGGGGTCAGGGTGCAAAAACACAAGGGATTTGCCACATTTCTGAAATTCGGTAGACCCCTCACGCAGATCGGCAGGGTCAGGGTGCAAAAACACATGGGATTTGTTACATTTCTGAAATTCGGTGGCACCCCTCACGCAGATCGGCGGGGTCAGGGTGCAAAAACTCAGGAGATTTGCCACATTTCCGAAATTCGGCGGCACCCCTCACGCAGATCCGTAGGGTCAGGGTCGAAAAACAAACAGGACCCGACACTGCTTCACGGCGAAGCCAAAGCCTCATTACTTCGCTCTTCCATGGCCCATTCTCCGAGAGAGGGGGCCGGCGGCAGGGGGCGAAGCCCTTACGGATATTTGAAAAATACTCCCCAGACTATTTTTTCACTATAGGGGGATATTCCTCCTGTAGAGGGGACAGGCCCGACTTAAGTCACCCGACTTAAGCCAAGGTCCACTAAATCGTATGACGAGGCATCCGGCGGTGGCATTGATCTGACTACTTACCAGACCACCCCAAGCCAACCCGAAGACCGAATTTCGGGTTGGGGGGGGAACGGGTTCCACATGTGTTTTTCGATGTTTCACGACCCCCCCACTGGAAATCGAGGGTAAATTTGGGCCTTCGGGTTGGCTCAGAGGGGTTTGGTGGTCGGTGATGATCTTTCACAACGGCAAGGGAGGAGATCACGGGAAGACGGATGTGAAGGGGCCCTGGGACACACAAATTAATACACACAAACAAGAAGACTCCCCACCTTCTCCCACCTTTTCTGTTTTTTTTGTCTTTCCCCCGGATTCCCATATTTTCCTATATGTTCGTGGGAATCGACGATTCATTGTGTCTACTCCAGATTTCGTAATCAGGGAGGGGGGTCTCATTTCGGGGGGGGGTCTCTTCCAGGCTATCTTGGAGGGCCTGGGGGGTCTGGGGACGATGTTCTGGAGGGTTCTCCCACGGGGGAGGTCTGAAATGGCTTGTCTTGGAGGGTCCAGACCCCCTCCCTTTTATTACGAAATCTCGAGTACGTGTTTTTGTCCCCTCCTGAACAGCGGCAGGCGCCTGGGGGAGATCACGGGAGGACGGACGGAGCGCGCGCCGTGAGCACCCCGTCGGCTGCCTGCCCCTCGGGGTATGGCCCAGGCGGAGCTGCCGGCCGGGGGAGACGGAGGCCAGCGGCCTGGAGCACCAAGGGATGGGGACGAGGAGGAGGAGGAGGAGGAGAAGGAGCAAGGTGGAGGACCAGGGTAAGCCCACGAGTCATCGACGATGTTGGAAGGAACCCTCCCTCCAAGCTTCCCCTTCATGGGCCCGCACGGAGGTGCGGGCCATCCCTGGCCATCGCTCGGACGTCCATTCCCTGTGTTTTTTGTTTGGGGGGGGGGGTCGTGCGTGGCTTCTTCGCCAAATGAGCAAGGATGCTCCTCGGTGGTCCGCGCCGAGAAAGATGAAGGGGCCCCAGGACACACAAATAAATACACACAAATAAAAATATTCCCCATATTTTCCCATATTTTCTGGGTTTCTGTCTTCCCCCCCACTTCCCATATTTTCCCATATTTTCTGGGGAATCGAAGATTAATTGTGTCTGTGTGTTTCTTTCCCTCCTGAAAAGGGTGCACACGCCCGAGCGATACCGAGGGAGCTGCGGGAGGAGATGGAGGCCGGCGTCTTGAAAGCACCAAGGGATGGGCTGCACGGAGCTGCGGGCCATCCTCAGCGAGGCGCGCCTCGAGAACAAGCAGAGCAAGGACGGCGCACGAGCGGCGTGGAGATTCAGGGCTCGAAGGCTTGAGCGGGAAGGCCCGGGCCAAGCCGGTGGCGCCGGCCGCAGAGCGCAAGGTGAAGTTTACCGACGACATGCCAAGTGCCAAGGACAAGATCATCTGCCTGCTGATAGGGGCAGGGTCCGAAAGCGATCCAGAGGGAAGAGACCGCGCGCGGAGAGAGAAGGGACTACTGCATGACTTCGAAGGCTGCTTCAGGTGTCGGAAACAACTAAGCAACACTCATGCAGAACATATGGTTCGAACCTCCCCCCCCCTCCCCCCAAATGCAAGGTTGGTTTCGGATCTTCCGATGTTGGGCCTCCGAGCGGTCTTGCGAAAACCTGACAACTTCGAATTGCGGGGGAGGGGGGGGGGGGTTGCTTAATTGTTTCCCTCAACCGTTAGGGCGACGAGATCTATACATATCCACTGCTCCTGGCCAGGCCCATCCTGGGCCCAGGAGCTGTGTATAGGCCTCCCTGGCCAGGCCAGCAGGGCGTATACACCGCTCCTGGGCCCAGGATTGGCCTGGCCAGGAGCAGTGGATATGCATAGATCTCGTCGCCCTAACCGTTCGACGACCAGACCTGCCTCCGCAGCCTGCCCGACCTCGGGAGCGGGGCGCCTCGCAGGGCCGGCGGCATCACACCGCTCGGGCGGCGCCGAGAGAGCGGGAGCGAGGCCGAGGCTGCCAGGAGCAGGTCACCAGCCGGCGACGCGGAGGAGCCTGCAGCCGGAGGCGTCGGCGCCGAGGAAGCACCGAGCGCGAAGACGAAGGGGAAGCCCGGCCAGACGAAGCCGCTCAAGGACACGATCAGCGAGGCTATCACACCGCTCGCGTGGCAGACCGCGCTGGCCATCGCCCAGAACCTGCGCGACGTGTCCAGTATCAAGACGGGCACGAGCTACGACCTGATGCCGATCTTCGCCGGCGAGGCCGCCATCTCGCAGGAGTTCGGTCGCAAGGGTCTCAAGGTGTGCGAACCTATCGACCAGTGCTACAACTACGACCTACGAAGTGCGCAATACCGTCGAGAAGTATTGCAGACCTACTGCGCCTGTCGGCCAAAGCTCCTGACGCTGGAGTTCTCTTGCACTCTATGGAGTCAGCTCGCTCGGGTGAACCACAGAGGTCAAGCTAGAAATCCAGAATTGAGAAGACAAGGAACTCACGGCAAGTCGCTGATGAACTTCGTGGAGGAGATAGGCATGATGTAGCTGAATAGCAAGAACGACATCCTTGTCGAAAACCCCTGGAACTCAGAAGCGTTCAAGCAGCCGCAGTTGAAGAGAGTGATGCAACATCCAAGGGTGAAGGACGTGCGAGTCGACATGTGCCAGTTCAACTTACGACATCCGAAATCGGGAGTTAGGATTTGGAAGGCTACATAGCTCTTAGTTCCACGACTCCTACGTCAAGAAATTGGGTAAGCGGTGTGACAGAACACATCGACATCTTCAACTGGAAGGTTCATGCTACACTCGGCTGGCAGGAAACTACACCCAAGAGTTCGCGAAGGCAATCTTGCAAACTTACCAACTCAACTACATGACCTATATCATGGAATACGGAATCTATGCCACTGGAGATCTCATTGACCTCATGGGAAGCGAGTCCAACGAGTGGGCGAGAACGTGGGCGACTTCACGGTGAAGTCACCCGACGGCCCAGACTGACACGAGCGGGAGAATCGGACATGGTGCTGCAGGACCTCGAGAAGGGCGACATCTCCCCAGATCTCATCAAGCCCAAGTTGGATCGCACGGCCAAACTGAAAGTGCCAATGTGGTACATGCCAGAGTCAACTTGCGGATGATATCGGAGCGGAGGCGATGCCGCTTGGACCTGGTAGTGCGGAGTGCTCAGGCAGGGACTTGGCAGCTCTACGCCAATGAAGTCAGAACTTGGGACATCCGAGCAACGAAGATGCTGCAAGATCATTGAGATGTTCGGGATATCGAGCGGAGGTGGTGAAGGCAGCTAAATCGTTGCGATGTGCGTCGCGTATGCAAAACAGGCAAAGAAGAGAATTGCCAGACCAGCGAGACTTTCGCACCTCGCCGATTTCAACGAGCAGATTGGCTTGGAATTTTCAATCATTGGTGGATTTAGGCAAGACCTTTCAGTGTGGGCATGACCGAGTCGGGCTGGACCTCCGTCGAATGGGGTGGTGGATTGGGTGCGTGGCCTTGGCTCGATATTTCAAGAAATGCCAGGTAAGTTTCACTGCGACGTGGTCCCAATGGCTGGGCATGCAACCTGGCAACATGGGCGTGCCGAACCACGAGGAGGCTGGCGGATCGAACCGGCCGAGAGGACGATAGCACACACCGCAACGTCCAGAAAATCAGACATGCGCATCATAGCCTCGGTCGTTACCAGAGCCAAGAGCGCACTGCGCCGACGTGTGGACTCCGCCCAGAGCGGTGGGTATTCGGCCAAAGCCCTCGTCTGCCTGCCGATCTCGTCGACGGAGCTCACCACGATGCAGCACGTGAAGGAGCCGAGATGCAGCCCATGGAGAGGCAGCTCAAGATGCGGACGGCGGCTCGCAAGGCTTTCGGAGAGATGCGGGACGAACTCGAGTACATCCGCATCCTGCTGAGCAAGGAGACTTCTGCTTCTACGACCGCCAGCTCGAGAAAGGCTCCATCGAGAAGGGTACCTGGTTGGGCCCACCCAGCTGTGATCGTGGGAGGGCCAGAAATACTGGATATCGCATGGTGGTTTTACTAAGCTCGTAGCTCCTGAGCATCTTCGGCCAGTCACTACTGAAGAAGTTTGGTGGCCTGCTATCGATGATCAGCATGGGGAAGCTATTGGTCAACTGCAACGCCTACGCCGCGATACCGACGCCAGCGCCGACCTGGATTGCGAGGATTTCCGTGGAGAAGAGCCGCCGCCTAACGACGAAGCTGTGGAGATGTACGCTGGTCCGCCTCAATTTGAGTCTGACTACCTACCAGACCACCCCAACCCAACCCGAAGACCAGAATCTGACCCGAATTGCGAGTTGGGGGGGGGGTACGGGTTCCATGTGTTTCTTCCATGTTCCCTGGCCCCCCCCCTACTGGAAATCGAGGGTAAATTTGGGCCTTCCGGTTGGGTTGGGGTGGTTTGGTGGGTGGTGAGAGTCACCGGCTGAAGTTGTGCCGCCTGAGATTGCCGATCTTGAGCTCCCGCCTGCCGAGGTCGAGCTCCTGGTTCAGCCATCCGCGACACCAGCATCATCTACCAGAGGGTTGACGCCGAGCTGTCTGGATGATGTGCCACACTGCATCCGAGGGACGAATGACAATGAGGGCGACGAAGGTACCACGACACACTCGAGCTTCGCGATCATGCTGAAGGGACCTCGAGCGCAAAGCGAAAGGCTCAGGAAGAAGCTACAAGACAAAGAGATCGCCTGGAAGGACATCTCTGACGATCCATTGCGGAGCACTGGGAGGAGTGGAAGAAGCTCGGCTCGGTGGAGGCAACATCACCACAAGAGTCTGAGCAAGCTCGCCACGACAACGACAAAAAGAAGTTCTTGCCATCAAGGCTCGTGCTTCGCGACGAGAACGCCAACATCTGCACAGAGGCCAACTCAATGCATGTGAAGGCGAAGGCTCGTCTATATGCTGGAGGCCATCGAGATCCTGACCTGCTAACTGGAGCGCTACGCACGGATGCACCTACTGTTACCCGCACGAGTTCGCTACTGTGTTTCATCATGGCCGCCCGACACGACTGGGAGCCATAGTGCGCGGGCACCATGGCAACCTTTGCCAGGCCGGATTCATGATCTTCGTGGCCGACAGGGAGATACTCAAGAACGGCGAGGGCAAGGCTGCAATGGCGGACTGGAGATCCGCAAAATTGGAAGGGTATGCCGCAGTACTTTCGCTGCTGAAGCGATGAGTACAGTTGACGCGTTGGGTGCCGCTATTGTGATGAGAGCATCGGTTGTGAACATATTGTTTCCCAATTCGAACATCGACGAGATCGACCCGAGTTCGTGCCCGAGTCATAGCGTAACAGATTGCGCATCTTTATCTGATACTGTGCACCGTGAAGGAGCGCTGAAGCTGCCAGCTGAACGTCGTTTAATACTGGATTTGATCGGTTTGCGGGAGCTGCTGGAGGATGAAATGATCGAAGAAATGGCTCCCGTTACAAAGTCCAAGTTGCCGCTAGCCTGGTTCTCGATAAAGTTTATGATAGCCGATGCGCTGACAAAAAGGGTGGATAGACCTCAGATGCGTTTAGCTACGAATGGTCATATGATGTTTCACCAAGACACGCCACCCAAGACAGACGACAACAATGATACGCTAGTAACTTCCTGGGCTTCAGTACGACATGGGAAACATTGTTATGGTGGTAATCTAAATGAGGATGATTGTCTGCTAACTGCTACATACATGTCATAAGCATGTGTTTCACATCTGTGTGCCTGCCGGCGCACCGCCTGCCAGAAGTCTAACGTGCGCCAGTTTTGTTTACTGTTCGTACCCGAGCTAGCTGAACTCGAGCATCCTGCTGACAGCCACGAGGCGTCCTGGATTTCATGATTCGGCACTTTGCTGTGCCAGCTTGTGTGACAGCCTCTTGATCGACAAGGGGCAACATCGTTTTAGAACGAGTGTGAAAGCGAGACCCTGTGGGTACTGGCTACTGCCCCTGCGTTTGCCCCTCGTCTCACTCGTCTGACCCCGTTTAACACTATGGCTTACCCAGGGCCCTTGAGCTGTAGGCGACAGGGAACCTTTTTTCGCCGGCGGCGAGGCAGAGGCAGTCCGCACCAGCGTGGGGCCAATCGTGGGCACAGATAGGCACATTGCCCGGCGTGCAAGAGAGAGCAAGGAGGAGACGGAGGTAGCGGCCGCGCGGGGGGAAGGAGGAGGGAGGCGATCTGGAGACAGGGAAACATGCGAGCCATCGATGCTGCCAGAGCCGCATCGCATGGGAAGCCGCAACTTCACCCGGGCGTTGGCAAAACTGGGGACCCGGTTTAGTGATAGGTACTGGGGGACGCCCCCCCCCCGCCCCGTTTCGCTAACCGGAACTGCCGTCACCCGAAAAAACACCAGCTACGGCAGAACTGGTTTGGTGATCATGGCCGGCTCCGGGGCCCTACCACTAACCAGATGCCCTTACCTGGGGTCCTGGCTATACCCGATTCACACCCACCCTTTCCAGCCCTCACACCCACCCTCTCCCATCCTTTCCCACCCTTTCCTTGCTCCTCTTCCTCCTCCTCCTCCTTTTATCTATCTCATTTTCTGACTATGTTAGCGTTTTCTTATTCGGCGTTGCGACACTGGGCGGAAGGGAGGGGGAGGGTGGGGGGTCTGGCTCCGGACCTCTGCTTAACGCGACTGTTTGCAACAGTGCGTCCTGTGGGGGAGACTTCACCTGCTTGAAACAGGCGCCCAAAACAGCCAAGATCTACTCTGTGGGGGTGCGAGGGCCCGCGCCGATCGGCAAAACAATGAATAAGAAAACGCACACTATGTTTGAACATGTTCTGACTAGTTATTCTCTATTTTTCTTCCCAGATCCCCCTGGAGGAGGACCTGCCCGACCTGAGGCCTGTGCTGAAACTAGTGGAACGAAGAACGACACAAACATGAACCCTCGGAGGTCCGCGCGGACCTCGAGTTTTTGTGCTTGTGCCGCCCTTCGCTCCCCTAGAAACGCAGCGTGCTGCCCCCCGCCCACCCCCCGAAAGTCTGCGGAGGCACTGGGATATGTTTTGACTTCGGGAATCTTCTGACCCGGGTCAATCCAGACCCGGGTCAATCAGGCCTGCAAAATCCTGCAAGATCCTGCACCCAAACCCGGGTCAATGCGAAGGACCCTGCAGGATCCTGCAGGATCCTGCACCCAAACCCGGGTCAATGCGACCCTGGCGCTGCAGGATCCTGCAAGATCCGTCGCTCTGGCTGACCCCCGTCTGCACTGAACCCCGTCTCGAGGCTCCCGATGACTATTCTCTATTTTTCTTCCGGGGGCCGCGAAGGGGCAGCCTGGGGCCGGGGCCAGGGCAGGCGCCGCCGGGCGGCTGCACCGAGGAGGACGGGGGGGGGGAGGAGGAAGAGGACAGGAGGAGGAGGAGGAGGACAGGAGGAGGAGGAGGAGGAGGAGGAGGAGGAGGAGGAGGAGGGAGGAGGGAGGAGGAGGCAGGAGGAGGGAGGAGGCGGAGGAGGGAGGAGGAAAGGAAAGGGAGGAGGAATGGGAGGAGGAGGAGGAGGAGGAGGAGAGGGAGGAGGAGGAGGAGGAGAGAGGAGGAGGAGGAGGGGAGGAGGGGAGGAGGAGGAGGAGGAGGAGGAGGAATGAGGAGGAGGAGGAGGAGGAGGAGGAGGGAGGGGGGAGGAGGGAGGAGGAGGGGGCGGAGGACCTGCCCGACCCGAGGCCTGTGCTGCAGCGCAGCGTGCTAGGCCCCCCGCCCCCCCCCCGCCCCCGAGAGCCGCCTGCGGAGGCACCGGTCGCGCCCCAGGTACTCCGCGAAGTGGGCGGCGGCGGAGACCACGTCGCCGCCCACGGAGTTGAACACGGCGGCGGAGCAGTTCGCCAGGCTCAGGGACTTCAGCACCTGCTGGCCGCAGAAGTATCCTCCTCCTCCCTCATATCCTCCTCCTCATCTCCTCATCCTACCTTCCTCCTTTCACACTACCTCCCATCCACCCTCCTCCCCTCCTCTCCCTCCTCCCCTCCTCTCTACTCCTCCTCCCCCTCCCCCTCCTCCTCCTCCTCCTCCTCCTCCTCCTCCTCCTCCTCCTCGTCCTCCTCCTCCTCCTCCCCCTCATCGTCGTCCTCCTCCTCCTCCTTCCCCCCTCCAACTTATGGTGGTGGCGGTGGAGAACAAGCCCATCAAACTCAGCTGGCCAGGCCGAGCCGCCGGCGGACCTGATACAGTCGGGGTGGATTGGAGAGGACGCGCGAGATGACGCAAGACTCTTCCGATGGCCACGTTGCCAGAAGAACATGGCGGACGTGGGTCGCGAAACACGGGACACGAGGGTACCCTTGTTTGGGCAGGGTCGACTTGCTAATCAGACTCGACCTCGACGAACTCCGAACCCTCCCCTTGCCAGCGATCGAGTTGAAGTGGCCTCAATCGTTGATCGGCGAGGGTAATGTTCGGACTTCGCCGCCGACCCGAGCGACGAGAGGAAACGGGTCTTTCGCGAGATGGCACAGCGACATTGCGCGGTGGCCTACGCAGGCCGCCAAAGGGGAGGAGGGGGAGGAGGAGGAGGAGGAGGAGGAGGAGGAGGAGGAGGAGGAGGAGGAGGAGGAGGGGGAGGAGGAGGAGGAGGAGGAGAGGAGGCGCGGAGGGGGAGGAGGAGGAGGAGGAGGAGGAGGTGGATGAGGAGGAGGACTGGGACGAGGAGGAGGCCGAGGGTAACGCAGAGAAAGAGGATAAGGATTCGGATGACACTGGGTGTGAGGGGGAGAAAAATCATAATGGTAAGAAGAATAATGATGATAGTAAGACTAACAATACTACTACTAATAACAATAATACGAATACTAATAATACTAGTAATAATACGAATCATACTAATAACAATGATGCTGAAATAATAGCAGTGCTGGTGCACGGAAGAGGGGGATCAGAGGATCAGATGGACAGGGGGGGGGGGCGAAAACCCAGGAGGAGGAGGAGGAGGACGGCCAGAAGGAGCCGAAGACGCGCCAGCGGTCTTGCTCTGCACTGCCTCCCCGGCCCCCTGCGCGCGCCCTGCGCGTGCGCGCGGCGACGACGGCGGCCCCCCGCTGCTGCTGCCCAGCGCCGCTCGCCTGGTTCTCGGTGAGCTTCTCCCCGATGTTCTGGAAAACGTCCGCGGAGAAGGAGTTCCAGGACAGGTCCAGGACGACAATGCTCCTTCGAGGGAGAGAGAGCAAGGGAGACAAGAAAGGAAGGTGAGACATAAGGAACTGAATAAACAATAACACATATAGGTAAGAAAGAAACTTACTAGCGCTGCCGCACAAGATAAGAGAGACAGATGGCATAGGAAAGGTAAGAAAGAACTAAAGGATTAGACAGGAAGGAAGATAAGGAAGATAATACAGAAAGAAGGACCTAAATGAACAACAAGAAATATAAGAAAGAAAGAAAGATCAGAGCCCTGCCGCACAAGATAAGGGAGAAATATGAGGTAGGAAAGGTAAGATAAGGAATAAAAAAAAGAGTTCCAGGACAGGTCCAGGACGACAATGGCCCTCCGAAGATTGACGAGCGCGCTCCACGACTCGCGAGAAGTAACTGCTCGCAGATGGTCGTGCTCGAGCGACTGCTCGCAGGCGGCCCGGATCCCCCGCGGGTGCTCTGCGACAGATTTAAGGGAACAAGCAATGACGTAAACATGAAAACTCGGAGGTCCGCGCGGATTCCTCGGATCCGCGCGGACCTCCGAGTTTTATGTTGATGTCATTGTTTCCTACCTAGGCTCTGCCTACAAGGGTTCTTACTGTGTTGGCTTAAAGGGGCCGGGCAGTGTTCCCCGCCCCGGGCGGTTCCCCCGGCATCCGCCCCGTGGTTCCCCCAGTGACGTCCCCTTAGCTTAGCGTTGCTTATCTCGTCTTAGCTTAGCTTATTTCATCTTAGTTTAGCTTAGTTTCATCTTAGCTCAGGTATCTTAGCTTAGCTTACCTTCATCTTAGCTTCGTTGAGCTTTAGCATAGCAGAGCACAGCATAGCAGAGCGTAGCATAGCATAGCGCAGCACAGCATATCATAGCATAGCCCAGCATAGCATAGCGCAGCATAGCATAGCATAGCATAGCATAGCATAGCTAGCATGGGTGCAATTCCCTACCTAGGCTCTGCCTAGAGGGTTAGCTTAGCTTAGCCGTGTTTAGCTTAGCATAGCGCAGCGCTGCATTAGCATAGCATAGCATAGCATAACATAGCCAAGCATAGCACATAATAACATAGCGCAGCATAGCATAGCATAGCATAGCATAGCATAGCGCAGCTTAGCATATGATAGCATAACATAGCTTAGCATAGCACAGCGCAGCATTACATTGCATAGCTTAGCATAGCATAGCGCAGCGTATCATAGCATATCATTTCATAACATAGCATATCATAGCGCAGCATAGTATGGCATAGCATAGCATAGCAACTAATGCTGCTTTCCCACGGGCTCCAACTTCTAGGTAGGGTCGCACTGGGGTAATTCGTTCCCCTAAGATTGCATCGAAGCGGACGTGTGTTCTCCGGACGGCTACGAGCAGGCGCTGTGCGGGTCTTGCCGTCGCTCGGACGTCAATTTCCCGTGCACTTTTCGGTCTCGTGCGTGTTTCTTTTGCTCGATGGTCCAGGATGGTCCTGGCGATGCCGGCGGGCGGCTCGGCGAGGAGGGGGAGGAGAGGGAGGAGGAGGAGGAGGAGGAGGAGGAGGAGGAAAGGAGGAGGAGGAGGAGGAGGGGAGGAGGGGGAGGAGGAGGAGGAGGAGGTAGGAGGGCACCAACTATACACCAACACCGATCCTGGCCAGGATCAACCTGGGCTCAGGATCGGTGTATACGCCCTCCTGCCTTGCGCAAGAAGGCATATACACCGATCCTGGGCCCAGGGTGATCCTGGGCCAGGATCGGTGTTGGTGTATAGTTGGTGCCCTCCGAGGAGGAGGAGGAGGAGGAGGAGGAGGAGGAGGAGGAGGAGGAGGAGGAGCGATGCCGAGGGGTGGTGGAGCGCGCCCGGTGAAGGAAGAGAGAGAGCTGCGCGAGCACGGACTCCCCGAGCCTCCGCGCGGAGCTCCCGGGGCCCTGCGCCGCCCCGACGCCGGACTCGCCGCACGCTGCTCGACGTCCTCCTCCTCGTTCTCCCCCTCCTCCCCCTCCTCCTCCCCTCCTCCTCCTCCTCCTACGCCTCCTCCTCCTCCTCCGCCTCCTCCTCCTCCTCCTCCTCCTCGTTCCCTCCTCCTCCTCCGCCTCCTCCTCCTCCTCCGCCTCCTCCTCCTCCTCCTCCTCCTCCGCCTCCTCCTCCTCCTCCTCCTCCTCCTCCTCCGACCTCGGATCGTGTCGGAGAGGCACCCCAGGCGGTGCGAATCCGTGGGGCGGAAACTCCCGCCCCAGAGAACTGGGCGGACACTTTCGCCCAGGAGCAGCGGAAACAGCGACGGCGGGCGGAAACTCCCGCCTCAGAGAATCGGGCGGACACGTTCGCCCAGGAGCAGCGGCAGCAGTAGCGGCAAGGCGGGGCGGAGGTCGACATCTGTGTGGAGCTTGCTAGGCAGGACGGCGGGCCCCGCCCTACCCCCGTCGGTCGGAAGCCGCGGGCAGAAGCACGGAGCGGGAGGGCGCTGGAAGTACACCGCGTGTCCGCCCGCCCCCGAGGGAGGACGGACAAGGCGAAGCCACTCGATCAGTGAAGCCTCCTCCTCCTCCTCCTCCTCCTCCTCCTCCTCCTCCTCCTCCTCCTCCTCCTCCTCCTCCTCCTCCTCCTCCTCCTCTTCCTGCTCCTGACGCTGGCGCTGCGGGCGTATCCAGCCTCGGCGCCCTCGATCGTCCCCGCCGCGGGGGGGGGGGGGCGGAAGACGGCTCCTCCGAGTGACGAGGGCGTTGGGGCAAGAGGGCTCCTGGAGTGGCACCCGTGGCGCCACGTGCACGCCGAGCGACGCCCTGGGCGGCAGCGCAAGCGCTGGCAAGACTCCCGAGTGCGCCAGTGAGCGGTGCGCGCGGCCCGGCGCCATGCTGGGGCGGCCTCGTCTGCCCTGCGGGCCCTCTCTCTCTCAGGGCCGAACCTAAGCGGTGCTTTTTTCGTTTTCGTGTTGTTTTCGTTGTCCCTCGCTTTTGTGTCTCGGATCCGCCCTTACCGCAAGGCGACGCCGAAACGAAAACGGCCCACGAGATCGCCGAAAACACCGTTCAGGTCCAGCCCTGCTCTCTCTCTCTCTCTCTCTCTCTCTCTCTCTATAGAGAGCAGATTGGAATCTGGGAATCCAGAAATACATACTCTCAGTGACCGGCGTGCGCCTGCGAGATCGTCCAGGGAAGTGCGGCGGCTCCGAAGCCAAAGGCGGCCCCCCAGGCGACGACCCCCCGGAGCCGCCTCCGCCGCGCGCTTCGCGCGCTGGGGACGGGGTCGCAGCGCCGACCCAAGACGTCCGCGCGGAGCCTCGAGCGTGCGGGCGAGTCGGGGATTTGTCCATATCCACCGCCTGGGAAGCGACGGCCTGGTGCCCCAGCGGGCGGTGGGTGTGGATACATTTCGGCGCCCGGGGGCCCGAATGTGTCCATATCATATCCGCCGCCTGCGGAGGCTCCGAAAGTTGACCCTCCAGGCGGTGGTCATGTCACAAAAGTCCTGCCTCGGAGTTTGGGCGATTTGGAGACCCTGAACCCAAAGTTGTCTTCGCCTCTTAGGGGCGCATCTCTGACGTCCGCCGAGCTTCCGCCGGCGGAGGCGGCCTCGTTTGGCTTCCGCGGACCTTCCGTCGCGGAAGCGATGGCAGCTCCTTCTGTCCTCGAAGGCGAGGCCCTTTCTGGAACGCCCAACTTTTGCTCGTGCATGTGTGTGTTTGCTCGTCTTCCAATCCTGCTGGAGAAGAGGTCGCCCATGCAGCGCTTCACGTCGACGCCGCTGCCCAGGCCCGAGTCCGCCATCCTCACCTGAGAGAGGAAACGTTCAGGGGGGGACCGACTCGGGGGGGGGGGAACATCGACCCAGGATCGGCGATACGAGGAGGAGGAGGAGGAGCAAGAGAAGGAGAGGTTGAGGAGGAGGAGGAGGAGGAGGAGGAGGAGGAGGAGGAGGAGAAGAGGGGGCGATACATGCGGGGGCGAGGAGCTCGACCACAAGAAACCGTCCACAAGAAACCCAACCCTGAGACCCCAGGACGTCGATCGACTTCTGGTGTGGGGACGTCACGCTCTCCGCGGCAGAGCCATCGAAACCTAAGAGACCCAGGGCACCCTGGAGGCAGGCAAGCAGATGACGGGGGTCTCTATAGGTTGAACTACATACTGGGGAAAGACGACAAAACGAACTGATTTTCCTGAATACTGAAGCCCCTTTTCTATCGACAAACAACGCGACATGAAGAAACATACCCACCCTTCTCGAACAACGACAGACAAACTCGCATTTCGACGTGAACTACTCTACTCAATCGACGAAAAAAAAACACCAAACAACCTCTAATTACTAACTTTTCGGGATAAACAAAGAACTGAAGAAAATTTAAAAAAAAAAAAACACTTCCACGCAAATTTGCGAAATTTCGATGAATAAATTCCTGAACGAATCCGCGAAACAAGCATTCCACACATTCTGAAATTAATCAGAACCAGTGGGGCCCCACGCGCATCCCTTTCGAGATGTTCGTGCTTTACCTCTTGGATTCGATTCGGTCTCCGAGCAAGGATCGCCATGCGATATATATATATATATATATTATATATATTATGTATATATATATATTATATTACACATATATACATTAAACATGATTACATACACATATATATATATAATATATATATTATATATGATATATATATATATTACATATATATATATATACGAAAACCCAAAATCCAGAGAACTGGTTTAAAAGCCATTGGTTTTCCAATAGGAATAGGGGCCGATGGGGCCCCACGCGCAATCCTTCCAAAATGTTGGCGTTTACCTCTTGGATTCTATTTTGTCTCTGAGCCGGGATCGCAAGACGAAAAAAAAGTATGCGAGAATCCCAGATCAAGAGAACTGGTCAAAAAACCATTGGTTTTCCAATAGGACTCGGGGCCGACGGGGCCCTACGCGCATTCCTTCCGAAATGTTGGTGTTTTACCGCAGGTCAAGTGGCGGCCGCGACGAACGACGGAATGAACCTGGATGACTTACCCACTAGCGCCGCGCGGCGGACGAACGACGGGGCGAACCTGGAATGGGCCTCCACTGTACATCGCCGGCAGGTCGGCGATAGGCTTGGGTCGGGCATGTCCTCCTACAGGCGGATTTTGGACGAAAAGCAAAACATACTCCAAAACGATGCCCAAATAGTCCAAAAACGTCCACAGAAAATCGTCTCCATACTATTTTTGACTATTTTTGAACCTCTCCCCTGTATCGGGAGCGGCCAAGAGGGGGGTGCCCAAGAGGGGGGGGTGCAAATCATGACCGGCGGCATGTGCGCGGCCCAGCGGGGGGGCCAGGAAGAGGCGCCATGAGATCTGGGCAAACATCATGGCCCCCGCCATGATATATCCCCCCCCCCTAGTCATCACCCCCCCTCTTTGCCGCCCCCGAGATAAGCGTGGGGGGTCTCCCCCCGACCGGGGCCAACCTCGCCTCGTCGTCGCGCCGCGACGGGGCTCGGAGCGCCTTCGGCGCGCGGCGGCTGTCGGCGACGGGGGTCGACGCGTGGCCGTCGGCGGGGTGGCGCCATCCCACGCGTACGCGTATGAAGAAACTCGGGGCACATAAGAAACTCAACCAGGGGGAGGACCCCCTAG